GAAGAAGGATTGTCGTTCTTCTTTCCTTTCCAGCCACTGTGTTTACTATTGTTAGTAGCTTTTTGCTTTGCAAGGTCGTCTTCGATTTCAATTCCGATGTCATAAACGGCCTTGAAAGTATTCAAATTATGTTGATATTTCAAATGCTTCGAATACTTCTCTTGAAGATTCTTGATAAACATCCTCACAGACTCCTTTTCGGTGGGGACCTCAATTATCTTGGCGGAAGTTTCCCTCCATTTATTAAAGAAAGAAGTAAAACCTTCATTCTCTTTTTGTCTTAGCATCTCAAGTTGTCTATGATCGGTTTCAACTTGAATATTGCACTTGTACCAATCAACGAAAGCGTTTACTATAGATTCCCAGGTAGAGGTTTTCTCCTTGTCAAGGGAGAAGTACTATTGCTGGCAAATGGTTTCAAGAGATAGTGAGAACAAAGAGGGAAAAACCTTCTTATCGATACCCTTAATACTCATTATGGTTTCAAAAGCTCTTAGATGAAAGTAAGGATTATCCTTTGCCTTGAATTTTGGGATGTCGTTGGCATTGAACTTCTGCGGAAGAAGATCTTTGTCCACCGAGACCCTTTGTGATGTAAGCTCTTAAAACTTGTAATCGCTAGACAACTTGCTTAGGATCTCTTGCATGAGGTCCATCTGTTGTTGCTCCACAGGATCATCGATCTTAAGTGCGAGAAGCTTCAGTGTCTCAGTCACAGTAGCCAGTTGGTTCTTAAGATCATTGACTTCTTCTTGAGTTGCCATTATCTTCTTAGCCTTCCTCTTTTGACGAATCGGTTTATCAAAACGCGAGACCTGAATAAAGAGGTTGTCCTTGATTAATCGCCCTTCTTTCCTTGACCAAGTACTGTGGAAAAGGAATTTGGGGATATTTATTGTAAATTATTTGACTCTTTATTCAACATGCAATGGATGGAGTAAGTGAAGAAATATTGGAATAGAATGTGAAGAAGATTTAGATGGAGGGATATGAAGAATTAGGAGTAGAATGTACCCCCAACTCAAATGACGGAAAGACCGACTCATGCATGAACCTAAGACATGGTCAAGGTGACATATACTCAAAGTGTGTGCTAAGACTAGTGAGTGTAGGTGACATGTTGAGACTCGTGTTATGACCATGTGGCTAGACTATGTGACTAAGACTCGATTAATGACTCGACAAGGTGTTATTGACAGCGAAAATTAACCGAATTAAATAGAAGACTGATTAATTAGACTCTAAGTGATGACTCGACAAATAATCCGAACTGTCGGCCAAGAGACAGGACTGGCGTCACACTGTGGAGCTTGGCGCCAGACAACATTGTTGTCGTCAGGCGCTACACTCCATAGTGTGGCGCTACAGCTCAGACCTTGGCGCCAATATTGGAGCTTCGATCTGGGACTGTTTTCGGTGTTATTAGTCAACTGGGTATGCCTAAAGTCGTACTAGGTCATTTCCGATTAAAATATTAGACTTTATTGACTCAAATTAATTAATTAATTAATTAATTAGGCAAAGTTCTTTAAGCCATTAATTTATTTAGTCTCAACACAAGTCAACAAACGGTTAAGAGAAACATAGAATATATATGCACAACAAATAATGCACAATTAGTCAAGTAGGCACAACATGATGCAATGAGTTCACAACCTAACCATGGCTCTAGTTCTCTAAAGTTCGGGATATGGTTTAGTCAATAGAGGGTCCATGGTTAATTGTCCGGATGCACCGCGCGGAAGCCTAACCGTGAAGGGTTGGCGCGAGTGGATGGGACACTGCGTGTTTTTAGAGAAAACTCGCTTCCATGGTTTGGTGAATTCAACATCTCGGATGTACCCTTTGTTGCACAAAGCGTTCAATCGGGTAGATGGAGCATGAATTCCCAGAGGGTTATGTCTATATGTAGAACACATATGGGTTTTAGAAAAGTGAGAAAAAATTCAATCAGGAAGTAGGATCGAGCAAACAATACGAAAAACCGGTCAAAATTAGAACGCATATTTCTGGCTCAGTATTGGGGGAAATTGGCGCCAGCAATCAGAGACTGGCGCCAATTTTTAACTGTAGCGCCTGGTGCCAATGCTGGCGTCTGGCGCTACGGCTAAAAGTCTGGCGCCAAGCTCTGGCCCCTGACGCCACTTCCCACATGCCTCAGCAGCTTTCTGTGCTCGATAAAATTTTCCAGTTTCGCGCGGTGTTATTTCAGTCCTAGTTGTGAAAGACGTTTCTCAAATTTCCTACGTGTAAAATCCTATGTTTTTAACTCATTACGGATGGTCTTTCCAATGAGATCTTTTTTATGCATATGACAATAATGTTAATCAAAATTACGCAAATGAAATACTTAGAACTTTTCGAGTCTCATCCACTCATTCTAAATCATTGCTGAAACAAATTCAGGAATAAAAATAGAAATCCTCCCCAGTGGAGTCGCCAAAAAACTGTAGGGAATAATTTCAAGCCTTTAAAAATCCCACTAGCTTGAACCCCACTGTGATCATACACTAAAGTACGGTGGCGTCCAAAAGGGAAGAAGATAGAGCAAAAGAGTCGCCAACAAGTTTTTTTTAGGAACTTGTAAACCGTTCACGAGGTGAAGGTTACACCCCTTAACGATCCAAGAGATCGTCAACTCCATAAGGTCTATAACCAAATAAGGGTTCGGGGATGAAGGTACAAATCCAACTTAAAAGAGATTGAACCTGCCCTAATAATAGGCCTCTACTTTATTCTGATCGTATTCATGTGCGCTTTCTAATTAACATGCAATCAATAGGATTGACCCTAAACCTGTTTATCTTTGTTTGTTGAATATTAATGCACAAATAAACTATTATTGGCGATCACTTGAAATTATAATCAAATTAACCCTAACAAGATTATTAAATATCTTAAGCGTGATTACAAGCACCAATTCCCTTTAAACATGCATAAAGGCGTGATCAAGCAATAAATATAAATAAGCATCAAGCAACATAATAAATAATCATTATCATGACAATAAAATTATAATCATAACAATAATCATCATAGATAAAATAATCATCATCAAAATAATAATAATAATAATATTCATAATCATCATAATCATAAATTATAATAATTATAATCATAATCATTCTCACGTTAATATTAAAGCATAATAATAGCAAGATCCTAGGCATGATACTAACAAGATTAATAACAAACCCTAGAATGTCACTAAACAATAAAAATCAAATCTTTAACCCTAACATGATACTAATAATCACAAATATTAAGAAGAACATAGGAAGCATTGTAACAATCATATTTAATATTAAAAATACCCTAGTAATGATACTAGGAATATCATAATAACAATATAAACATGATTTCTACATCATAATATCAATTAATCAATTAAATTACTAACTTTGATGCCTCGTACCTCTTTCTAATAACAAAATACACACGTTAGTAACTTCAAGGAAAATAATAATCAAAACAATCAAATAAAATAATTGAAAGAGAGATTTGGGACCAAACCCTTAGAAATTAAAACCTTTCACGTCTAGGGCGAAGGCAACTTCGAATATGGCTTGGAGTTTCTAGATCTTGTGAATGCGGAATTTTGTATGAAAAAGCAAAGGTTTAGAAAGAATTGAATGTTAGAAAGATGGATGATTTAGAGAATGCTAAAGAATTAATGATTGTTGATGAATGATGGATGTAGATGATGAATCTTGATGAATGAAAACGGAGTATTAATACGATATTTATAGAGAAAATCAGCCAAAAAAGATAAATTAACAAAACAGAGTCTGTCGCTCAGAAAACAGAGCTGGCGCCAACCCTGGCTAGCTGGCGCTAGGCACCAGCACTAACGCCAGGCGCCAATGGCTAACGCCAGGCGCCAAGCCTGGTTCCAGGCGCCAAGGCCTGGGGTTGGACGCCAAGCTTGATTTCAACACGTTTTCGAAAATCCGATAAGTTTACCGTATTAGAGGATAAAATAATATAATTTCTTCGAAAATGCTATTTGATTTTGATTAAAACTCTGAAAAGTCAACAAAGTCAATTTATCAATGCTAATTGAATTAGGAATGAAAAGAACCTTCTAGAAGATTCTAGAAGACTAAAACCATTCCTAATTGCATTAGGAATGATAAATCATATTAGGCCATCCCCTAGATCATTGGGCCGTACATAAAGCTCAAACTGGGCCCAGTTTGGTAAATTGGCCATAACTTCCTCAATATTCATCGAAATTGGGCTTATAATATATCGTTGGAAAGGTCTTTGCAAGCCCCATCCAACTACACCACTATTGGACCCATATCATGGACAAACCAAACTGGATTGGCTGTTTTCTTAAAAATTTTCAAAAACAGAGAGAAGAGAAAAGAAAATAAAACTTTCCGCAACACTAGTCCTTTCCACACTTTCTTTTCATTCTATTATGATTTGACGCGAAAGGTACTCATCACTGGGTTTGGTTTTGGGGAGACACAAATGGGTGTCTACACTCATTTTCCCATTTTCTGCATTTTGTATCAAATGACCTAATGGCTTTAGAGCAGATCCATATTAACTAGTCTTGGTGTCTAAGGTCTGTAAGCGCATCAGAAGAAGGTTTTACTAAGTATTTGGACGGCTTATACCCAAAATCGCCTAATTGACTTCTACTTTGCCCGATTTCTACATTTCTTATGTAATGAGCTATTTCTTTATCATAACATGTCAATTATAACTAGTCTTAGGTGTCTAATGTTTGAAGTCATAGCAAATTAGCATTCAACTAAGTTTTAGGACGGCTTGTACCCAAAATCGTCTATTTGACTTCTACTTTGCCCGATTTCTACATTTCTTATCTAATGAGCTATTTCTTTATCATAACATGTCAATTACAACTAGTCTTAGGTGTCTAATGTTTGGAATCATAGCAAATTACCATTATACTTAGTTTTAGGACGGCTTTTACCCGAAATCGAACCGGAAAAAAGTAAAAACAAGTACCTCCTCAATGTGTTGGGCTTCAGTTCACCTATTGACTATGTCATGCATAAACCTCATCACGTAGAGGGCACAGTCAACGCCGTTGTCTTGTTGCGCACACTAAAAGACACAAAGTTAAAATAGTCATGCATAGCCATAACTCAAGGCAATTTTATTAAATAAATCAATATATCAAGGCTTTACCTTCGCATATTTCCACGTGGGACCCGCAACTGAACGACAATTCAACTTCTTCATAACACTTTAAAAAAATAAAAAACAAATGATTTAGGAACATAGCCACTCAATTACTTAGGTGATGAAACAAAACAATATATAGGAAGCGGTATGTACCTATTTAATAGGTTATTCACTAGCAACTTCCTTGTTGGCCATATACGAGCCGAGTCAAAGTAGTAGATTGTGTTATTGGAAACACAAATCACCATAAGGCTCCAATGTAGACTACATGTATATTAAAGCAAATATCAATCCATTAATTGTTATGCGTCAACATCTATACTTAACAAATAAATTAAGAGTGACATATTTAAACTTACTCCTCAAAACAAGGGGCTAATAAGAACTTGTTTCCCGCACGCATTGATTCTCTAATACCCCGCTCAAGGTAATCTATTACATCACGAGGGTTATGCAAGCATTTGGTTACGGAGGTCTGCTGGGGCATAACCACCCAACTGCTGCTTCACCATCGGGTTTACTAGCAAGGAGCTCCTGTAGTGACCTTCAAGAAAGTAATGTTTGCAAGTAATTACTAGTTGCATTGTTTTGGTACGAAAATATCAAAAATACTATATGTTTAGAAATAGTCTCGTTAATTTACCTCATGAAAGTTTGAATGATGGAAATGTTAAGCATGGAACCGGTTAGAAATTCCGTCACATCCTCTCTAGAAATGTATGCGATCGCATGCTCATCATAGTGGAACAATGCCTTAGGCAAGTTCACTTGAATGTGTGTACCCGTAGGCAACTCACTAACACGGTTGTGGAGAAAAGTACATGCTTTCGAAAGCGAACTAAGGACATTGGCTTCTACGAGTGGAGTACATGAAGCTCTCGAACTCTTCTTCGACACTTGTCCTTGTTCCATCTTTGGAGGACCTTCTTCCTTGGATTTTGTCTTCTCCACCTTCTTCCTTTTAGCGGATTGAATTTCCATAGTAATCTAGTAGCATAAAAGAACATGGTCATTGCACAAAGCACATGGTAATCTAGTTACATACAAGTAGTGTTTACTTACCCCTCCTACCAACCTCAACCGATCACGTGGCCATTGCACAAAGCTCCCGGTCGCGTCACGCAGCTTAAAAAAATCATATTCCTCTCTAGGCACCGGTAGTGGTAAGTCCTCAAACCTAGCAACTATAGAATCGATCCCGACCGAGATGTAATGGGTGCTAGTATAAGACTCAAAATGGACCTTTGCAAAAGGTTGTGCACTACCATACCCCACCAACTGCAACTGTCCACCGGTGTTTTCCCTGGGGTGAAGAAGCTCACAAGGCGTCTCTTCCTACATATTTGGTTAGGAGTTAGGACATAAGTTAAGAAATAACAAACGAAAGCCTAACATAAGAAAAGTTGATTACGTAGTGAAGTTCACCTTAACATCTGGGAAAGGTTCAGGCATCGGATTTTCTCTCTTCAGTGACTCTGCATCCATAGGACTAGGATCCTGCAAAAGTAAAAAATTAAACATGCAAACGACCTCATTAGACAAACTTCATATGACGTAATTCGTAGTTGTACTAAAATTACCTCTCTCTCAACTACTGGATCGTCCTCGGGGCCTCCTGGGTGACTACATGAGTCTACTGGGGTACTCGAGGGAAATGGCAAAGGCGGCAAGTTCATGTGCTTCAGAATGGCATTGAATTGACTTTGCATCTGTTCTTGCAGCTCCGCGAGTATCTCCGCCTTAATTGATTCCTTTTTCTTCTCATCAATCCAATGTGGCGAATTAACACTTGATCTGCTTTTTGCTGATTTGGTGTATTTTGAACCCATCACCTTCTCCCACCCTAGTTGTTTCCCGCCAAAACCAATTACTCGCCCAGGGTGGTATGGTTTTCCCAAAGCTAAGGTGAAAGGATTATGTTCGATGCTTGGAGTCAGCTTGCCTTCAATCACTTCCGAAGTATGCTCGAGCTTTAACAACACAAAAATTTATCAGATCTAAGTACAATGTACTTGACAAGGAAATATAATTAATAAGTAGAAAAATTTGCTTACAAGTGCATCTGCTACTACTTTCTTATCCGGTTGCATGACATACTTGCCGGTTTCCTTGTCCATCCCATGCATAGCACACCACCAGTCAATTGCACGATTAACCAAAGTTGTGACCGTGGAAGAAAGTGGTTTATCAGTTGATGACATTATGGATTTGGGGTATAGACCCGCTTTGACCCACTTTGGTCTTGACTCCGCAAAGGTCTTACAACCCATATGATGGCTATACAATTTCTTTCCGGCATTGATTCTAGCTTGTTCGCTTTTTTCCTACACATTCAGAAATATATGTTAGCATCAGTCATTGTAAGAAACTAAATATGAGTAGCCGACTCTATTGATAAATAAAAACATACAAGTGCGGTCCTAGTGGAAGATTTTTCCACAAACTTCTCCCAATCATCCACCGTTATTTGTGGATATAAATCCCACGGTTTCTTATCAGGTTTCTCTTCTTCTCCATCTGCAGGCACATTTTTCTTTGGTCTTCTCTTTCTTCTCTTATGGATCCATCTCGTCCTCAAGTAACTCTTGAAGTATTTGAATCTCTCTTGTACAAAAGCTTCAAAGACTTTTCTCTTGGCCGGCTCATCAAGAATATGGAACATACTCTGTAATTGGCGCAAACATCCACGTTAGGCAAGAGAAAAAAAAATAAAAAAAAGGGGGAAAAAAACCCGGGAATCGGGCAAGGCAGCAGCTGAGCCCAGGCTACTGCCTAGGCAGCTGCAGCACCCAGGCAGCAGCCCAGGCTACTGCCCAGGCAGCTGCAGTACCTAGGCAGCAGCTACAGCAGCCCAGGCTACTGCCCAGGCAGCTGCAGCACCCAGGCAGCAGCCCCTGGCAGCTGCCGGCTACAACCCTCGGGTTAGGCCCGGGGGAGGTTTTTGCAATTTTTTTTTCCCAAGATATATATGAATTTAAAATAAAAGTGTGATTGAAATAAATACTTACCATAGTATCGTCCCAAAATGTTTGAAGCAACCCGTGAGGTATATCGACAAACTCAAGTGTGATTGGTATTTTACGAGTTAGAATGCCAACTTGACTAGAAAATTTGTCGCGCCATTGGCCAGTAGGTTGACCTAACTCATCAAACTCAAGCACCATAGGAACGCCGGGTTTCTTGAAAGCTTTAGTAGCACCCCTACTTCTTCTGTTCACCGGTGGCTTTACCCCTCCTCCACCATCGGTTTTTTTCACTTGCCTTTGCATTTGAGTTTCACAATGTGAATCACCTACAACTTCGGTAACCACATTATCATCAATAGGTGGGGCAGTTTCAGCTATACGCTCAAATTCATCAAGCTTATGTTGGAACTCGTCATAAGCTTAGTCTTCCGGTTCCCCTATATCCGTCTCCTTATTAACATCATACAACTTGTCACCATCATCATCATCCATATCCTAATCAGAATGAAGGTTCTCATCAGGATCCATGATATGTGCACACCTACATTAAACAAGCAAAGCATGTTGTTAGTCATCAGTAATGACAATCAAATATGAGGCACGAAGAAAGACAAACACTTACCCAACTTCTTTGGTTTCATAACAAATTCACATATAATCCTCTAAACAATTCATATATTTAGTTCATATTACATGCTCATACGTTGAAAATACAAAAAAATAAAACACTTCCCGAAATAAACAAAGTTGTTGTAGCATAAGATATTTAGTAAATAAAACATGCATTAATAAAAGTACCTCATTCGTGTATTCCCTCATTGTGGTCAGATCGAATATAAGATCTATCATCATCTACATCAGTTGCTACATCAAGTGTAGGAGCAGTGAAAGGGGGAGAATCATCAAATGCATCATATTCTTCCTCGTCCTCAACCTCTCTAACCCCTAAAATTCTCCTTTTGCCAGCCAAGACGATGGACCATCTTGGATCGGACGGGTCAGTTACATAGAACACTTTCTTAGCTTGAGATGCAAGGATGAATGGTTCAAGACTATCCCGCAAGTGGCCAAGATCTACAAGAATGAAGTCATCATTTCTCACGTTGCGCCTATTGTTATCGACCCATTTACACTTGAATAGACCAACCTTGAAGTCACGGTAATCTAGTTCCCATATTTCCTGAATTAGTCCATAGTATGATAATAGTGCGTCAACTGGTGATGTATCCTTCGCACTTGCAAACTCTCTTGATGAAGCCACAAGAGTGACACCACTATTTTGAGTCAATGAGGATTTCTGATCCCGACTTTCAGTCCAAAATGTGTACCCATTTATATCATATCCCTCAAATGAATGAACATCTTCCTTTGGAGCATAAGCTAGCCACTTTATTGTATCAGACACAGTCTCATCCAATTGACGCATCACACGATCATGGAACCACTTCACAAACATCTTATTATGCAACTGCATTAGTGCTCTTTCCCCTTTTGATGGATATTCAACACGCAAACTATCTATGTGCATTAATCTCCTCGGACACAATTCCTTGTATCATACTGCCTTCCGGATGGGCTGGATTTCTTACTTTATCTTGCAGTGTACCCATGTGTCGTTCAAAAGGGTAGCACCACCTCATAAATACTGGACCGCACAACTTAATCTCACGAACCAATTGCAGAATCAAATGCACCATTATGTCAAAAAGTGAAGGTGGGAAAAACATCTCAAATTTGCACAAAGTTACCACAACAGTCGCCTGGAGAGCATCAAGTGTAAAGGGAACAAGAACTTTGCTGCAGATAGTATTGAAAAACCCACAGAGGCTTGTTATAACTTCTCTCACGTGCTTTGGTAAAATACCACGAAGTGCAATCGGTAGGAAAACTTGTATCATCATGTGACAATCATGGGATTTCATACTTGTCAACTTCAATTCTCCATTTAATGAAACAAACCTTTTCATGTTTGACGAGAACCCAGATGGAAGCTTAATGTCATACAAACAAGCACAAAACCTTCGTTTTTCTTCCTTTGATAATGTGTAGCAAGCTGGAGGTAAATACACCTTTTGGTTCTTTTCTTTTCCATCACCTTTCTTCTTTGCGATACCCGTGGCCTTTTCCTTGCGCTTCCCCTTACAGTTTTGACCACCATCTTCGTTTCCCTTTTCCTTAACCTTCGCCATCCCTACCTTAGCTTGAACCCACAACTCCGGACGAACACCCCACTCTTGCAAATCTAACCGTGCACTCTTGTCATCCTTCGTTTTTCCAGGAATGTTCATAATTGTCCCCAGAATTGCATCACAAACATTCTTCTCTATATGCATCACATCGAGACAATGTCTAACATCATGTTCTTTCCAGTACTCAAGCTTCCAAAAGATTGATTCCTTTTTAAAGAGAGCGTGTGGGTCAATTGGTTTCGTTGTTTTACCAAAAACACATGGAATACCCTTCACTC